CCCCAAATTTCCCCCCAAATCCCCCCCAGACTCCCCCACCTGCTCCTGCAGCTCGGCCAGCCGGTTGGCTCGCTCCTCCTCGGAATCCGAGCTCTCCTCGCTCTCCGAGGACGTTTCCGTGGAGCTCTCCTCGTCCTCGTCCTCGTCCTCGTCCTCCTCCTCCTCGTCTTCATCGCTGGAAGATTCCTCGGACGAGGATTTGGGGATGGGCAGCGGCGCCGAGGCCGAGGCCGCGCCCGAGTCCTGCGGCTCGTCCGGCATTTTGGCGTAGCTGAACTCGAACACGTCCTGCGGGGATTTTTGGCATTTGGAACTCACGGATTCCCGGCCCAGAAATTCCAAATTCCCGTCACGAAATTCCCTGAAATTCCCAGGATGAAATCCCAAAATTCCCGTCCCAAAATTCCCCAAAATCCCTGAAATTTCCGGAATAAAATCCCAAAATCCCCATCCCAAAAAACCCCAATATTCCCAGAATAAAATCCCAAAATCCCGTCCCCAAAATTCCCATCCAGAAAGTCCCAGGATAAAATCCCAAAATTCCCGTCCCGAAATTCCCCAAAATCCCTGAAAGTCCCAGAATAAAATCCCAAATTCCCGTCCCTAAAATCCCAAAATTCCCATCCAGAAAGTCCCAGGATAAAATCCCAAAATTCCCGTCCCAAAAATCCCCAAAATAAAATCCCAAAGATCCCCAAAATAAAATCCGAAATTCCCATCCCAAAAATCCTCAAAATGCCCACGATAAAATCCCAAATTTCCATCCCAAAAATCTCAAAATTCCCATCCAGAAAGTCCCAGGATAAAATCCCAAAATTCCCGTCCCAAAAATCCCCAAAATCCCTGAAATCCCCAGAATAAAATCCCAAATTCCCATCCCAAAAATCCCCAAAATAAAATCCCAAAAATCCCCAAAATAAAATCCGAAATTCCAATCCCAAAAATCCTCAAAATTCCCACGATAAAATCCCAAATTCCCATCCCAAAAATCCCCAAATTTTGATCCCAAAAACCCCCAAATTCCGGTCAAAACTTCCCAAATTCCCATCCCAAAAATCCCCAAATTCCAACCCCAAAAAATCCCCAAATTCCAATCAAGAACCCCCAAATTCCCAACGAGAATCCCCAAATTCCCAACGAGAATTCCCAAATTACGCTCAAAAACGCCCAAATTCCGATCGAAAACCCCCAAATTTCGACCGAGAATTCCCAATTTTTTTCGGTCTTTTGGGAATTCTGGTAATTTCCTACCTGGAGTTTCCTGGCCATGGCCACCACGTCGTGGTCGGGCGGGTTGTACTTGTAGCAGTTGGAGAACATCAACCGCACGTCGGCGGCGAATTCTTGCGCGTCGCGGTATTCCCGGTTTTCCATCTTCCGCTGCGGGGAGAGAGACGGGAAAATGAGAGTGGAGAAAGTCTCCGAGGGTCAACGGGGGCATGGAAGGGTCAATGGGGTCATGGAAGAGTCAATGAAGTCATGGAAGCATCAATGAGGTCATGGAAGGGTCAACCGAGTCATGGAATGGTCAACAGGGTCATGGAAGCATCAATGAGGTCACGGAAGGGTCAACCGAGTCATGGAAAGGTCAACAAGGTCATGGAAGGGTCAATGGGGGCATGGACGGGTCAACGGGATCATGGAATGGTCAATGTGGTCATGGAAGAGTCAATGGGACCACGGAAGAGTCAACCGAGTCATGGAATGGTCATGGAAGGGTCAATGGGGTCATGGAAGAGTCAACGGGGTCATGGAAGGGTCAATGGCGGCATGGAAAGGTCAACGGGGGAATGGAAGGGTCAACGAGGCCATGGAAGGGTCAATGGGGTCAAGGAAAGGTCAATGAGATCATAAAAAGGTCAATGGGGTCAACGAAGGGTCAACAGCATCGTGGAAAAGTCTAAAATCTCTTGAAACCCCAATATTTCCTCAAAAAATTCGACGAAACTCCAAGAAACTCCAAAAAATCCCAAAAAAACTCCAAAACTTCTCCAAAAAATCCCCAAAAATTCCCAGAACCCCACCTTGACGGTGCTGAGATCCATGGGATGCTCGATGATCTCGTGGTAATCGTGGAGTTATGGGGACATGGAGGAGTCAATGGGGTCATGGAAGGGTCAATGGGGTCATGGAATGGTCAACGGGGTCGTGGAAGAGTCAATGAAGTCATGGAAGCATCAATGAGGTCATGGAAGGGTCAACCGAGTCATGGAAAGGTCAACAAGGTCATGGAAGGGTCAATGGGGGCATGGACGGGTCAACGGGATCATGGAATGGTCAATGGGGTCATGGAAGAGTCAACGGCGTGTAACAAGAGTCAACAGGGTCATGGAAGGGTCAACGGGGTCATGGAAGGGTCATGGAAGGGTCAATGGGGTCATGGAAGAGTCAACGGGGTCATGGAAGGGTCAATGGCGGCATGGAAAGGTCAACGGGGGAATGGAAGGGTCAACGAGGCCATGGAAGGTTCAATGGGGTCAACGGGGTCATGGAAGAGTCAACGGGGTCATAGAAGGGTCAATGGGGTCAAGGAAAGGTCAATGAGATCATGGAAAGGTCAATGGGGTCAACGAAGGGTCAACAGCATCGTGGAAAAGTCTAAAATCTCTTGAAACCCCAATATTTCCTCAAAAAATTCGACGAAACTCCAAGAAACTCCAAAAAATCCCAAAAAAACTCCAAAACTTCTCCAAAAAATCCCCAAAAATTCCCAGAACCCCACCTTGACGGTGCTGAGATCCATGGGATGCTCGATGATCTCGTGGTAATCGTGGAGTTATGGGGACATGGAGGGGTCAATGGGGTCATGGAAGGGTCAATAAAGTCAAGGAAGAGTCAACGAGGTCATGGAAGGGTCAACGGAGTCATGGAATGGTCAACGGAGTCATGGAAGGGTCAACGGGGTCATGGAAGGGTCAACGGAGTCATGGAAGGGTCAACGGGGTCATGGAAGGGTCAACGGAGTCATGGAAGGGTCAATGAGGTCATGGAAGGGTCAACGAGGTCATGGAAGAGTCAACAAATCTCTTCAACCCAAAAATTTGAGGAAACTCCAAAAAATCCCCCACGATCTCAAAAAAACTCCAAAAAATCCCAAAAAAAGGCCAAAATTTCTCAAAAAACCCCCCAAAAATTCCCAGAATCCCACCTTGATGGTGCTGAGATCCATGGGATGCTTGATGATCTCGTGGTAATCGTGGAGTTATGGGGACATGGAGGAGTCAATGGGGTCATGGAAGGGTCAATGGGGTCATGGAAGAGTCAACGGAGCCATGGAATGGTCAATGAAGTCATGGAATGGTCAATGAAGTCATGGAAGGGTCAATGAGGTCATGAAACGGTCAACGAGGTCATGGAAGAGTCAACAACTCTCTTCAACCCAAAAATTTGAGGAAACTCCAAAAAATCCTCCAAGATCTCCAAAAAATCCCCAAAAAACGCCAAACTTTGTCCAAAAAATCCCAAAATTTCTCCAAAACCCCCCAAAAATTTCCAAAAAAATCCCAGAATCCCACCTTGATGGTGCTGAGATCCATGGGATGCTTGATGATCTTGTGGTAATCGTGGAGTTATGGGGACATGGAGGGGTCAATGAGGTCATGGAAGGGTCAACGGGGTCATGGAAGACTCAACGGAGTCATGGAAGGGTCAATAAAGTCAAGGAAGAGTCAATGAGGTCATGGAAGGGTCAACGGGGTCATGGAAGGATCAATGAAGTCATGGAAGGGTCAATGAGGTCAAGAAAAGGTCAAAGAGGTCATGGAAGGATCAATGAGGTCATGAAATGGTCAACGGGGTCATGGAAGAGTCAACAACTCTCTTCAACCCAAAAATTTGAGGAAACTCCAAAAAAATCCCCCAGATCTCCCAAAAAACCCCAAAAAATCCTAAAAAAACACCAAAAAAATCCTTAAAAATTCCCCAAAATCCGCCCAAAAAAGCCCAAAAAATGCCCCAAATTTCTCCAATTTCATTCCCTAAAATCCCCCCAAAAATTCTCTAAAAATCCCCCCAAAAATTCCCTAAAAATCCCCAAAAATGCCCAAAACCCCAAAAATCCATAAAAATCCCTCAAAATTTCCCACCTTGATGGTGCTGAGATCCATGGGATGCTCGATGATCTTGTGGTAATCGTGGAGTTATGGGGACATGGAGGGGTCACTGGGGTCATGGAAGGGTCAATAAAGTCAAGGAAGAGGCAATGAGGTCATGGAAGGGTCAACGGGGTCATGGAAGACTCAACGGAGTCATGGAATGGTCAATGAAGTCATGGAAGGGTCAATGAAGTCATGGAAGAGTCAACGAGGTCATGGAAGAGTCAACAACTCTCTTCAACCCAAAAATTTGAGGAAACTCCAAAAAATCCTCCAAGATCTCAAAAAACCTCCAAAAACTCCTAAAAAAACACCAAAATTTCTCAAAAAAATCCCAAAATTTCTCCAAAAAATCCCAAAATTTCTCCAAAAAATCCCAAAATTTCTCCAAAAAATCCCAAAATTTCTCCAAAAAATCCCAAAATTTCTCCAAAAAATCCCAAAATTTCTCCAAAAAATCCCAAAATTTCTCCAAAAACCCCCCAAAACTCCCAGAACCCCACCTTGATGGTGCTGAGATCCATGGGATGCTTGATGATCTCGTGGTAATCGTGCAGCCCCAACGCCGACGCGTCGACGGGTTTGTAGAAGGGCCAAGCGTAGGCCGCGTGTTTTTTGGACAAGAGCTCCTTCAAGATGCCGTTGCAGTATTTGAGCTGCTCGGAAAGTTTCCCTTTCTTGGAAGTTTGGTGCTGTTGGGAATCTGGGAGATCTTTCCTGGGGGGTTTGATGGGTCGGCCGCTCTCGCGTCGCGCCGGGATTTTGGCGGCTTTGGGGTTTTCGGGGATGGAAGGGGAGGATTCGCCGCCGCTGGTGGCGATGATGGCCGTGGTGGTGGGGGTGGTGGTGTCGGCTTTCCGCTTGACGCCTTTTTTCTGTCGCGGGGGAAGGACAAGATTTGGGTTTTTTAGAATTTTTTTTGGGGTGGTGGGGGTTTGGTTTGGCGGGGCGGGATTCCGTTTCGAAGTCAAAATTCAATTTTTGGAGCCAAAATCCCATCCCAGAGTCCCAAAATCCCAATTTAGGATCCAAAATTCCATCCCAACAACCAAAAATACCATCCCAAGAGCCAAAATCCCATCCAAGAGACAAAAATCCAATTTTAGAATCCAAAATCCCATTCCAGGAGCCAAAAATCCCATTTTAGGAGCCAAAATCCCATCCCAAGAGACAAAAATCCAATTTTAGGATCGAAAATCCCGTTCAAAGAGCCAAAAATCCAATTTTAGGAGCCAAAACCCAATTTTAGGAGCCAAAATCCCATCCCAAGAGACAAAAATCCAATTTTAGAATCCAAAATCCCGTTCCAGGAGCCAAAAATCCAATTTTAGGATCCAAATACCATTCCAAGAGCCCAAATCCCATCCCAGAGTCCCAAAATCCAATCCCAACAACCAAAAATCCCATCCCAAGAGCTAAAATCCCATCCCAGAGTCCCAAAATCCCACTCCAGGAGCCAAAATCCCATTCCAAGAGCAAAAAATCCCATTTTAGGGTCCAAAATCCCGTTCCAAGAGCCAAAAATCCAATTTTACGAGCCAAAACCCAATTTTAGGATCCAATATCCCATTCCAGGAGCCAAAAATCCCATTTTAGGAGCCAAAATCCCATTCCAAGAGCCCAAATCCCATCCCAGAGTTCCAAAATCCCAATTTAGAATCCAAAATCCCGTTCCAAGAGCCAAAAATCCAATTTTAGGATCCAAAATGCCACTCCAGGAGCCAAAATCCCATCCCAAGAACCAAAAATCCCATCCCAAGAGCCAAAATCCCATCCCAGTGTCCCAAAATCCCAATTTTAGGATCCAAAATCCCGTTCCAAGAGCCAAAAATCCCAATTTTAGGATCCAAAATCCCATTCCATGAGCCCAAATCCCATCCCAGAGTCCCAAAATCCCATTTTAGTATCCAAAATCCCATTCCAGGAGCCAAAAATCCCATTTTAGGATCCAAAATCCCATTCCAAGAGCCCAAATCCCATCCCAGAGTCCCAAAATCCCAATTTAGGATCCAAAATCCCGTTCCAAGAGCCAAAAATCCAATTTTAGGATCCAAAATCCCGTTCCAGGAGCCAAAATCCCATCCCAAGACCCAAAATTCCCAAATTCCCCCATCTCAAACCCCAAATTCCCCCCAAATTCCCCCATCCCAAACCCCAAAATCCCCAAATCCAAACCCCAAAACCCCCAAATCCCCCCCAAAATCCTCCCATCCCAAACCCCA